GATCGGGGTGCTGCGTGAGGGTAAAGCCGAGTCCTTGGAAGGGAAGCGGTTGTTCTTGCCTGAGGGCTCGGGGAGAGGCCAGAGCTTCCTACCGGTGACTGAACTTTCCCTCTAGTCGCGCTGTGGGAGCAGAACAGGAACCAGCACCGCTTCTCGTTTTGGTTTCTTTTTAATATTTGAAGTGTTGGCGTGCAGACAGGCAGAGCTAGAGCAAAAGGCAGTGGTAGCCGTACGGACCTAGAGTTTGCTGTTCAGTTAACTGTCCTTCTCGTTATCTCAGCCATCTGCCTGGAAGATAAATGCTAAAATTCATGCGGGGTAAGCGGAACTTCATTTAGAAACATTACGCTTAAAATTCTCTCCTGTTAAAGCTTTTTCTTACAATTGCTGTTCAGGACAAGGATTGCATAAGAAGTGGCTTTTTTCCCTTTGTTTTTGGGGGCTTTTTGGAAGCTTTTTTTCTTGTTCACTGAATATAAAGGTCTTTTATGTTACTAAATCAGGCTTAAGAGAACATGCAGAATCTCCTAGCTCTGTGTTACTTGCTTAGATGCCTAAGCAGGCAAATTTTATTTGATTTCCAAGCAGGTATGCACAGCAACAGCCTTGATTTTTAAATTTCTAAACCGAGAATGAAGAGTTAAAAAAATCAAAACTGTTTTAGTGATCCACACTGGAATACAGTAGCGAGCTGTTAACGTCTTTTGGTAAACGTATCACGGTGCTTCTCCTAATTGCAGTCTGCCGAATCCTCGTAAACAGTATCTATGGTATGGCATCGCTTTGAGTTGAATACAGGGTCGACATAATGTGACCGCTAGCCAAGCGAGGGGGAATTCAAGGATATCTTGGCTGTAGGTAGTCTGGCTTTTCCCTGGCTGACAGCTCAGTTTGGAGTCCAGCCAAGGAGCGTTGGAAGCTGCCAAAGGAATTGCCACTGATTTTGCCCTTACAGTGGGAAAATTGGGCAGTGAACGAGGAGAGCGTTGGGGAGTCTCAAGCGGAAACCCTGCCAGTTGAGGAGAAGGTAGATTAGAACATAATTATGCCATTTTTATAACTAATTTTTCAATGTTTTAGGAAGAGATTTTTCCTCTCTGCAGCACGCTCCCTGAACTTGAAGGTGCTGTACTTTCTGGGTTTGGCTTATACAGCAGCCAGCCTTTTCCCTTGATAGCTGTGTGCCACATCCAGCATTTTGAGTTTTGCAGGGATATTAATAACTCAAAATATATTCTGTTAGGTGCAGGCTCCAGCTCTTAACCTCATTTTATTCAAATACAAGTCATTGGTAGCTCCTTAATGTGGCAATTGGGTGCCTTTCCTTTAAACTTCCTGTTAGGGAAAAGAACTCCCTGTTTAAATCATGTAGTTATCTGTGTCTCCATGACACAGCATTCTTGGGTCAATAACAGTCACAAAATGTCAGTCTTAATGGGAATATAAACCTGACGCTGAAATAAAGTAATCTTTATTACTTTATTAGTAATAATAAATTATTATAAGTAATAATAATCTTTATTACTTTATTAGGATATTGTATAGCTGAAATGAATGCAGATTTCTTGAGGGGAGAGTGAAATCAGGACCTTTTTGCATATAGTCAATCAAGAAGTAAGGCCTCAAATTGTTGCTGCTATTTCTTCTCTGCTTACTGAAAGTAGAAATGAAATCATTCTCTTACTCAGCGCTACGTGTTTTAATCTTACACAGTTTTATATGTTGGGGTTGTGCTATTATTGAGATATTTCATTATAACTTCGTGGTAGGCTTTATGCCCGCTGTGTGCATGGGAAATAGTTTTTATGAAGTGGTGTTTAAATATAAGGCAGATGTTTTCTCAGCTTTAATTTTCTTTCTTTCTGTCCCTCCCTGGGCTTTTTTACATTTAGTGTTGAGAGGCAAAATGGTCCATGCTGAAGCATTTTCACGTCCCCTGAGCCGGAATGAAGTGGTCGGATTAATTTTTCGTTTAACCATATTTGGTGCTGTAACATATTTTACCATTAAATGGATGGTTGATGCCATTGATCCGACCAGAAAGCAGAAAGTAGAAGCTCAGAAACAGGTAGGATTTTATTTGTAAATATTTCTGTGAAATGCTGTCTCGTTCATTACCGTTCAAACAGAGGAATCTGCTAACTGAAAACTGGACTTGCAAGAACCAACGAAGTAATCAATAGAAGCATGTGCAATAATCAAAAAACTACAATTACTTTTTAGTAAATCTCAGAATCTAGGCTGTTAGCGTTTTCAGTGCTTACATTTTATAACAAGTTAAAATTTCTAGCTTGAAGTGCTGGAAAAACTGTTGAACTGTAGCGCAATGTTGTCTCTAATTATCTGCAAGTGTGGTCCCAGTGCCGTTTCTGCTTCTGACAACTTTGCTAAGCAGCAGTCACGTTAAATAATGCTCTCATCAGTCACTTGGTTGCTTTTTAAAACCTTGAGCAGAAATAACTTGATTTTCTGCTGCTTTTTGGCAACTTAATGGCAGAGGCAGGGACTGTGGTTACCCATGACAAAGAGGAACACTGCTGTCCAAATGCCTTTTTAAGAATAGCTTGCACTTTGGTCCCTCTCCCTCTGTTCTCCCCACCTCCAGTAGCAGTCAAAATGTCCTGGAAAGGGGAAGAAAAAAGTGAAAAGCCTCATTCCTTGTGTTGAACTAGAATGATTCATGGGACTTAATGCTCTGGGAAAAGATTTAGGTGCATTTCAGAACCAAAAGTTAATTGTATCCTTTGGAAAGTATTAAAGGAAATGTTGCAACTTTTTTTTTTTGTTTCTGGCTGACACAAATTTCACAGATTCAAACAGCGGTTTTGAGCAACCTAACTCTGTTTTGAGTGGTTTTTCCTTTTTAATGAAATCTTTAGTTAAAAAATTTGCCCCACTTTAAAAATCAGCTTTCACAGTCCGTGCTAGTGCCAGCTATTATATAAGAGGTTGCAATATCCCAAAAGCACGTCAGACTTAACCACAAGTTTGAGTATAAAGAGAAACTGAATTGTGAAAGGGTGTTGACACAACAAATGACTTTTCCTTTTAAATTGGGAAGAAGAAAACATTGAATACATAAGAAAAAACTGACTGGCTTCTGTGAATTATCTTTTTTTTTTTCTTAACAATATATCGATTTCTACTTGATACAGTGCTGTGGAGGTTTGGGGGGTGGGCATGCTTTCTGTAATAACACAATTATATCTCCCATTAAAGTGTTTGTATTATTTGCAGGGTTGTGAATGAAGATAATTAAGCACGTGAAAGAACTCTAGAGTTCTATTTAATAAAAAGTTTCAGGCTTTTCATCTGAATCCTCTACAAAGTTCGTAAGGACTAATGGGCTTTTTTAAAGTGTAACATACTGGTACCAGCTTTGGAAACTCGTGTCGAGATTATGGAAATGATTTTGTACTGATGTTACCTATGTGTCTGCAAACCTGTTCTGAACAGCAAACTCCGTGTTCTAATGTTTATTTTTTTTGCTTTTCAGGTTATAATGTATGACATGTGGATTTGGGGGTGGGAGGGCTGGTGTGACACTTACTTGATGGGAACTGAGATATATGACTTAGTTTCACTGAAGTGACAACAAGTCATTAGGAAATAGCAGAACATTCTACTTCAGAAAGATTTAACTGCTTTTCAGATGTGTCTTACGGAGAAGCTTTTCAGGCTCCAAATAGCAGTTCTTTAAAAACTAATTTTTGAATTAAGCATTCAATTTCTTTCTCTGATTTTCTTGGTGTTTTATTTCCCCCAGGCTGAAAAACTAATGAAGCAAATTGGAGTGAAAAACGTCAAGCTTACTGAATATGAAATGAGTATTGCTGCACATCTCGTAGACCCACTTAGCATGCATGTAAGAAACTGTTTTTTCTGTTACTTTGATGAAAGCACTTCAGACATGGAAGAGCTTGATTTTGGCTTTGGATTACATAATTTGTCATATATAGATATCTATGGAAATACATAGAAAATATTTCTGTAATTTAAAACTAAAATTGCATCGTTGAGAGCCGAGTTTTTTTGATCACTTGTCCTTTTTATTTTTGAGGCCTTGCACTTCTTTTAAGCTTGTGGATATTTTTTGTTGGCAGGGACTATGGTGATCATTTCTAATACTGTTTTTCCGTATTAGGTAACCTGGAGTGATATTGCAGGCTTAGATGATGTTATTACAGATTTGAAAGACACTGTCATTTTGCCCATCAAGAAGAAATATTTGTTTGAGAATTCCAGGCTCTTACAGCCACCAAAAGGTAGGAAGGAAATGTTACAGATTTATGTGTTGGTATTAAAAAAAAAAAAATTAAAAAAAAAAAGAAAAGGTTACAGTTATCCAGAAAGGAAAGAGGAAGTGGGTTGCCACTCCAAAGTGCAACCATTAGGACTGATGCCAGGGAAAACCCTCAGGTTTTTCCTCTTCTCTTGCCATGAAATCAAGTTCTAGTGAATAAGTTTCACCTTAATAATGAAGCGATAATTGCTTCTCAGTTACTGATGTTACATTTTGGTGCACTAATCTATGTAGCCTACATTTTTATCTGCCTAAATTGTCGATTTTTTTTCTTCTTATACCCCATTTTGTCCTTTGGCAGGCGTGAGCTATAACTCTGCTGTACAGCTTTGTACACTTGGTTAATATTTCTACGGTGTCATAGAAACATAAGTCATAAACATGAGACTTCAATGTAAGCTAATCTTGCAGACGTCTCTCTGTTCTAGTCCTAGAAATTCCAGTCATTCAAAGAGACAGAGATCCCATTTTTATTCTGGAGATCCCTTGATTTTCTGTGGAGCTGAGTTGCACAGTATTGAGGCAGTAAGGAAACCGGCGGGTGACAAATTAACTTTCCAACATTAAAACAGAAGTTGGACATTAAAACAGAAGTCGGACTCTCTCTGCTGGAATACTTACAGCCATATTTGCTGTATGTTACTGCAAACAAGCAGAATTTGTACCTAAAATATTGGACAAAATGCCAAAGTTTGTCTTTACTGCTCTGATCCCTGGAATATTGTCTTCTGAAAATTCTCTGAAAACTATTAATTACTGCCAATGTCTGTGACCATCTCAGTTTCGTGTCCTAAGTGATGGAAAATGAAGCACTTTTGTAACTGGTTTAGTTTTTCCAGGCTACTTTCTGTTTAAGTCACAAATTGAAATTGTCTGGAAAATTACTTTAATGTCAGGATCTAATAAGCTGAAGGAAAAAAATATTTTTTATTTATCTTTTTAAAGTAGACTTTCCATATAGGGCAAGCTCCCCAGTTTTATTAGTGGCTTGCACTGTGTGTTAATAGGAAGTCATTGCTTTAGAGTAATTATGTTTGTGGTTGTCAGTCACATAAACAGAAAAAAACCCTAGTAATTCTCTGTTTCAGGATTGTTTGACTTAATTTTTTTCTTTAGTTTGTTTTCTTTACAGCTATGTTAGAAAAACACTACTGTGAATTCTTTAACTATGACAAGTTTAAAAATAATATGAGATGTCATATTTAATTGCGGGTAATTTGTTTGAAATGTTTGTGGGCTCCTTCCCCCTCCCTCCCCCCTCTGTGCTAAGTTTTATTAGCAAAGCTGAAACTGGCTATAAACAAGGCCTGTCAAATGTTTACAGGAAATAAATAGGGTTCCAGTTTTATGTAACCTTTATAGTCACAGTAGTAAAACAGTCATCTTTCAGGCAAATGTATCCCTTCAATTTCACCATATCTGTTTTTTGGTATTCTCAGCTTTAATTTTATAATAAGTGTATCTTAAACAACTCTGATTTGATGGAACACGGGTTTCTTATCTTTTAAAACTTGGATAAAATACAAGGCTGGACACTATCAGGTTTGTCATGCCAAAGCATGTTTTCTGTACAGTGACCAGAGAGCATTAACACCGTTACTTTTTCAGGAGTACTTCTCTATGGCCCTCCTGGTTGTGGCAAAACACTGATCGCCAAAGCTACAGCAAAAGAAGCAGGTTGTCGATTTATTAATCTCCAGCCTTCAACACTGACCGACAAATGGTATGGAGAGTCTCAAAAACTGGCTGCTGCTGTCTTCTCCCTTGCTATAAAGCTCCAACCGTCCATCATTTTTATTGATGAAATAGGTAAAAATCTATCTTTTTTTGAAAGTAACTATAGCAGAGTGATATTAAACTGTAGGTTCAAGTTGATGGGTGTATTGATCTACTGTCATCTTTTCCTAAAAAAGAGTGATAATGGAACAAGGTTTAGTAATATAAATAGTATTGTAAAGTAATGGTGTCAAATTAGGAAAACCAGTGTATTTCTTCCTCTTGTTAGTGGAGGAAATTACAAGTAGAACAAGTTGCTGCTTATTTTCGGATGGGCTAAGGTGGTTCACGAGGAAAGCTTTTCTTCTGTCCCGGGAACTACTTGTTCAGGAAACCAATCACTGAATACACTTCAATGCTTCTGCCATGAGGGCACATAACGGAAAATAAAATACGGGTTTTGGAGAGCTCAGGAATGATAGTTTAATAAGGTTGAAGAAGTAGGAGGGGAAGTTCAGCTAGGAAGACAGCCAAGGTGCCAGTTGTTAGTGCATTTGGACTTGTCGCATTATTGTTTAAGTCCCTGTGAACTTGAGCAGTTCAGTTAAAATTGCTCGTTGTCTCATAGCACTGGCGCTTCTTAGAGTGAGTTGTACAGTTTGCAGAAACAGAGCCTGATGAAGCTTTTACCCTTTCCACAGTTTAGGTTTATGAAGGGGCTAGGTTCTTAAGATACTTTTTATCCTTTTGTATAGGTGTGAAAAACGTGGTGTTTTTCTAGCTGCTGGAAGTTCTTCAGGCAACCACTAGCAGAGTTAGAGCTCTGCTTAACAAAGTGTATAGCCTACTTTACGTCAGTCCTGTAGCTTGCTGTTCTCCTGTGCTTTGGTGTCTTCTAGCTTGCCAGACTCTGAATGCTTGAGAAAATTAGGTGCATGAGAAATTTAGGTGAAAGTTACACTTTCCATGAATTCAGGAAAGTGAAAATTTGGAGCACAGGATTTGGGACAATCTCATGTGATAGGTACATACTCATGTAATGTAGCTTAAGATGTGCTTAAAAATATGGTGAGATTCCACTTTCCTGTTCTTCATCATAAGAAATATTTTTCATTTGTTGACAATGTTTATTAAGAAGAGTATTTATAAGAGAGAGAATAGCACAAGTCTGCACGTGAGAAATCAAACAGCATAGTTTCTGTGGCAGGATTGCAAGTAAACTGCTTTACTGAATCCTTTAATACAGATTCCTTCTTACGAAGTCGATCGAGTTCTGACCATGAAGCTACAGCTATGATGAAAGCTCAGTTCATGAGTCTGTGGGATGGACTGGACACCGATTATAACTGTCAAGTAAGTACAAAGGATGACAAGAAAAGTAATGTGATTCTTCCCTCTTGGTTATTGTGCATTGACCCATTTGGAAAGAGTAGCAGATTGCATGTAGTAATAACTGCCAAAAGAATTTCTTTACCTGTCAGTGTTAGTGATTACCAGTATATTATGGGAATGAGATGAGTTATATTAATAGATCATTTTTCTTCTTGAGAAGACTGTTTTTGTACGTATTTTGGTTTTAATTAAGAGGTGTTATTTTTCAGAAGTGTCTTAAGTCTCAATAATATAGCTGTATAGTTTGAGCTGCCAAAATTGGGAATTTTTAAACTGTTTTGAAAAACATTTTGTCAACAATATTTTCTTCCGGTGAAGTGAATCTTTGATTTCAGGAAAAGTGTTGAAAGATCTGAGTATTCATCCCAGTTGCAGGTTGGTTGGTTTGTTTCCAGAAGAGCATTAGACAAGCACTAGACTCTGGAGTTAATCTGAAAGGGTGGAGAAGTTGATGTTATCAAAAGACAAATTCTATTAAATGGAGCCGTGCTTCCATCCTGTTATTCCTGCTTCCGTCCCCCTCCCATAATCGCAACAGAAGTATTGTATTTTGGAGAGAAAAAGAAAATACAAAAGCTGCTGGTGCTGTAAAAACAAACAAACAAACAAAAAACATTTATGAAATAAATTACTTGAATGTAGCTTGGTATGCTTGAAAGCCAGCTTGGTATGTTTCTGAACTGTCACCTGGAGCAATCTTTTTAAGGCCTTTAAAAAGGATGTTTATTCTCCAATTTTAAAATTTTCAGCCTTTTAAATCTGTATTTTTCTGTGAATGGGGTTCCGATGCTCTGACCTCCATTAGTTCGTTCTTTGTAAAATCTGCTTTTCCTCCTCACTCAAGCTTGTGTTAAAGATTTTTTCAGTTGATTTTTTTAAAAACTGATCAGAACACAGTGAATATATATACTGAGGAGCTTTAAACCAGAGTGTTTGCTTACCATTATTAAGAGGCCAATGGTGTGAACACTTAACTGGAAGCTAATATGATCTTGCAAGCACACATTTCTTCCAGTGTTTGAATCTATTATCTTTTTTCCCAATAAACTGACAACTTCTTGGAGCAAATCAAATTGTTCATTCCCTGCAGTAAGACAATATGTGGTCTTACCCATCTCTCGAGTTCAGCATGCAGAGCCTGAACAAGTCACTCTTGTCCTTCACTCGTATGCCTCTGCAGGGTAGGGAGCCACCACAGTAAAATGCAATGCAAACAATTGGCTGGAGACACCGCAGGGGTTGATTCAGGTTTCTGGGGAGTTTTTCAGCAGG